TTAAATTAGACTTTGCAGCGCATAATACCCCAAATGAATCAGAACTGACAGCACTTAATGACAAAGTTTGTTCCAATCCCAGTAAGTGAAAACTCTGCTACTCATGCAAGAAAAAAAACCTGTATCTGTATGGGCTCTCATTTTTATTTTCCCCTAATATTATAACCAGTAAAACTTGCACTACAGTAATTCAAATCTTCACTACAACTGTTGACAAAAATCAGGCTGAGAGACAATCAAAGGCTCTTATTGTCAAATCCATTAAAATATTTCCATGTTTAATCTGCCCCTTCTCCTCTTCTAAATTCTGTCCTTACTCCCACCAAAGCAAATTGATCAATCTTTGCTCTTGCAGCTTCATGAACAATTTTTCAGCGTGATCCTGCCAGTGAAATGGATGTGCTGATTCACTAGCTCCAAGGGATAGGTTCAATATGTCTTCTGTTCACTCAAATGACATTGATCTGTCTATTGTGTCCAGTCAATAAATCTTTATTAGAATAATTTACTTCACATGAATGTCAGCTCCTGCACTGGAATTAAAGTGTTTTGTAATTGTTCACCCTTTTAATCCATGTGGCTTTTCTTTTCAGACTTATATTATCATCTATTCATCTCTTAACACTGATCTATACTGCAGGCAATACATTACCTAATGCATAATAATATGTTTGCCAAAAATAAGATCTATACATAAGACAAATTCATCAAGGAGATTTTAGACATAGCAGGCCTGAAATCTCTGCTCGTTTTTTATTCAGGGACTGGTAAAAAACCACTGATATTTTTCCTAATTAAGGATGTCAGGATTTTGCCTATGAAAAAGACTAAACACAACCATGCAATAAGGAGCACTCTCAACACAACAGTTGAAAGTATCGGTAGAGTAATTCATTGGCAAGACACCTAAAATAACATAGGGAGGTTTGACACAGACACAGCCAATTCACTTACTCCTTCTAAAGTGTGCAGCAAAAACAGATCTAATTATAAAAAGCTTGCAATTGCCCCACTAGCAAACTAAGGAACTGGTGTTTCAGTAAAGTTGAAACATCTCCACTCCTGGCCTCCCACATAAGTCTATCACATTATGTAGGAACAAAAAGTCAAGAACAAGGAAGACTGCAGAAAGAAATTCTTCTGTTCAGGGAGGCAGAATCCTATTCCTGCAATAAATCAAGGAAGGGAAAAGCTGATGACACCCATCCTCCCTCTTGAAGGGAATGAAGAAGAGCCAAGATTCCCATTCTTGGATGGAGAGGAACCAGGTTCTCTAAAGTGCACAAGATATGGTTAGGAGACTAGACAAGTTTCCTTAGATGGGTTTTCCCCACATCTTTAGATAGTGGATTTAAAATCTGTATCAACAGACCAAAAGTGAACTGGAGTCACACACTAGTTCCAAACAGCGATTTGCTAACATCACATTGAGGTGCACTGGCAGTAATGGGTATGGAAGGAGGCTGCTTGCACAGCTGTTATCTGCATGACACCCAAATCAAGTCAGTGCAATCACTTTGTCATTTTTAGAGAGAACATTATAACACTCAGGAAGTCCTTGTCTACAATTACCACCCAGCAAGCCCAAGTATTAAAGCAGCCCAAAGCTTTTTGAAATACAAGTTCTGTTAACAGAAGGAAGTTACACAATCTATATATCTATATTAGAGATTTGTTTGTCTGTCTGCGTGTCTGTCTGCAAATCCATTTATTCAAGAACTACTAAACAGTGAAAGCTAGGACCAGCAAATTTGGTAGGCAGCTTGCTCTTATCCTATCTTAAGACAACGTTAGGGTTTAGTTGTGCCAGGAAATGTGATGTGCCTGAAATTTGATTGTTTTCCATAACATGGAAAAGGAAGGGGAGAGGAGGGACGTGATCCTTAGAGTCACCAGTATGGCACCAAACACAGGGAAGAGCTGTCCCAAAGAGTCACCACTGGAGGGCAGCCGCACCACCAACGGAGTGGCCAGATGGAGATGGGTCTCCATCATCTTGCCTACCACCTTGCCTCCCTACCTCAAAGCCTGACCCTCAGACTCCCAGCCCCATCAGTGCACAGCCTTCCCTTGGGAGCACCACCAGGGCCAGCAAGTGCAGGCCTGGCAGCCTCCCACCCCAGGCCCAGCTGCTCCCCCACAGGACCCACTGCCAGCTCCCTCCCACTGCCTGCACTGTTGGACCACCCAGTGTGGCTGCAACAGGCCAGCCTGGATTGCACCCATCCTTCTCCTCCTCTCCCCAGGCCCGGGGAGCACTGGCAGGGGATCCCAGTGCTGCCCCTCCCCTTTCCAGACAGTGCCAATGGGGAAGACCTGAGTGGTCCCCTCTTACTCTCCCCCCCATCTCCCTGGGTAAGGCCTGCATGGCCTCAACACATGGCCCCAGGCAAGGCCCCTTCCCCTCAACCTGGGTCCCACTCCCCCACGTCCCTAGACCACCACTCCTCTGACCTCTGACCAGCCTGAGGCGCACCAGCGGGAGGCCTGTGCAGGCCCCATGTCCCTTTCTGCCCTGGGATAGACACAGCCAACACCAAATAAGTCTGCTAGATGGTAAATAACAGACAAAATGCAAGTAGGGTTTGAAGAGACAGAATGAGTGGAGAGATCTATTATGAATCCAGTTTTATCTTCTGACACAAATACGTGCATCTCCCACATACAAGCAATGAATGACTCTCCTTGATAATTTTTAGTGACTAGGTTAATTTCTGCACCATTTACATAACAAGTTTTATTCTTGAGTAGAATGATCATGTAAATGAACTAAACACCAAAACAGTGTTGACCAAAAAATAATTTACCACAAATTTCAGAATGCAAGGAGTGTCTCTCTCGTTATTTTAGCAAAATACAGGACTATGTAGCACTTTAAAGACTAACAAGATGGTTTATTATATGATGAGCTTTCGTGGGCCAGACCCACTTCCTCAGATCAAGAAAGTGGGTCTGGCCCACGAAAGCTCATCATCTAATAAACCATCTTGTTAGTCTTTAAAGTGCTACATAGTCCTGTATTTTGCTTTAGCTACACCAGACTAACACAGCTACATTTCTATTACTATTCTTTATTTTAGGATTTTATCCTGCCACCCGTCTTCTCTGAATCAGAGCTCCAACCATGCAAAATAAATTTGGGCTTCATAGAGAGTCTCGGGGTTGTCTCATTACTAAGTTAGATATTTAGGCATATATCAGCCCCCCAACCCCCACCCCCAGCTCAGTATAATTATTTGTGTATGAATGATAATAACAACCTAAAAGTTTATTTAAAATAAATTATTTGTTATCTCTGTAGATTATTTTATTGTGCCATTGTTCACAATAAAGAAAAAGCAAGTCTTGGACCTCTATGGATAATACAATGGAAAGTAAATTGGGTGAGACAAGAGTTATGTTGTCTTCACAGTGCTACACACGATTATTTATTTGGTCTGATTTCCACTATACATCTATTTTAAGAGGCCCAGTCTGTCAGCACTGGTGAGATTGCACAGTTCTGTCATACCATAACCAATGGCACAGCTTACATTTAAATTTACTCTTCCCTCTACCCTTACCCTCTACACATAACAATGATGTTTGTTTTAGAATGCTTGTTGAACAACTGCATCTTCAGCATGACAATCCAATGAAAGCAACATCTCCTTTAAGCAACATCTCATAAAAAGTTGGCTATATGCCAAAACCTTACCCCCAAACATTTCCCACAACACACACAGAATAAAACTGAATCCAGCCAGATAATCTGAAACAATTTTTAGCAGTTAAATTTAGCTGTATTATTCATATGCAAAAACTTTTACAGAGCGTCACAAATATCCCATGAGATTACTCCATTCAAGGTACAATAATAAAGACTTTTTCGTATTAGCCTCAGGGGGTAGCCATGTTAGTCTGTAACTATAAAAATGAGTAGTCCTGTAGCACCTGAGAGACTAACAAAAATATATATAGTATCGTGAGCTTTCGTGGGCAAAACCCACTTCCTCAGAGGAACAGAGACTTTGTTCAGCTGAGGAAGTGGGTTTTGCCCACGAAAGCTCATGATACTATATATGTAGCAGGACTACTTGTTCTTTCACACTAGGTCTTTTGGGTACAGACAGCGCAAAGTATTTTCACTGTTGAAGTTACTATGACCAGCAGTCACCGGCAGTGTGTAGAGGCAGCAGCACAAAAAAGCTGATTTGATACAAATGTATTCAAAATAAATTTCTGATGGGGCAGATTTATTCCAATACAAATCAATGATTCTCAAAGTGTTAATTTAAAATGCCACTTGGCTATCTATGGAGATAAATAAATTATATCTTATATTCATGAATATATGAACACACTTCTTACCAAATAAACTTCATGAGGATTCAGCTACACATGTGCAATTTTGATTTCTAGATAAAGATCAGGATAACTCTGCACAATGTAATCAACTCTTATGATTTTATCACAAGTCTTTTGATATTTGGTGTTGGTAAGTTAAAGACAGTGAAGAGTGAAATGAAAAGAGATTAATCAAGTGGAGATAATGAATGTGGAATATGGAATAAATAAAAAAGGGATACTGATTCAATGGATAAGGAAGGAATAAGAATAAATGAATGAAGGGGTAAACGGGATGAGGAGAGGATAAAGTAAGAAAGGCAGGGAATAGGCAGGAACATAAATTACTCAGTTCAAATCTAAGCTTGGAACATCATTCTTTTTGCACTTAGAAAAAAGAAAATAGGTTTACTTTCTCCAGCAATAGAACCCTATCCAATATGGCATGTCAGCATGGACAAATTAATTAGCATTTTTTAATATTGGCACTTGCCATTACTGCTTTGGAAAAAAGAGAGAAATCAGACCACACACAATGTTCTGACACCGTCTGGTAAACAAGAGCAAGCTCCTCCACCAGTGACTTGGAGATCAAGCACAAGATGATGATAATTTCCCAAAAGGACAATACAGTAAAAACAGCACAAGACAGGCAGCAGCAGGTGTAAACTTACCACTAGAGCAATTGGGTCCCCCCCAGCCAGGCTCACACTGACAGGTGTTTGGAGCAATACAACGACCATGGACACATTTATCAGCACAGTGAGCTGTCAAAAAGAGAAATCAATAAAAATAAGAACATCTTGCACAAAAACCAGAAGCAAGCAAGAAAAACCACACAACAGCCTTTCCCCCCAAATCCAACTGTTTTATATTTTTGTCTCAAATATCTTTTAAAAACAAGAACAATTGATGGTAAATTCATGTTTGGTAGCTTCCTCTGCAAGTCATTTTTCAGACTTAACATGTATTTTATAACCATACAACTTCTTTTCTAAGTTCAAAATTTAAACATAAATTCCATTAAGGATGCTTAAATACTATTTCATGCTCAACTCTGAGAAGAGACTCTAAGCTTTTGGAGAAAAATTCATGCTCGTTTTTGCTGCAACAATGAATAAAACAAAATTTTGTCTATACCACACAGAATATGTCACAACACATCAGTCTTTAATGTTTATCTTTATTAAAGACTGCATGATTCGAAGCAGCACAGTGAAACAGAGATGAGCACCAGACTAAAACAAAATGTAAACCTTCTGGCTCCTCCTGCAATTATCATTGCCATTGCTGAATACAGCTGGATGAAATTTTTAATTTGAATTTTTTTTTAAATAAATAAGGGTCTTTTTTTAATTTGAAAATTTTATTTTCAACAGCCCTAATGTTGAATCTTTTTTTAGAGAGATGTGATCTAGTTTTTAGAGCACAGAAGTGGGAGCACCGAGTGTTCTAATTCTGAGCATAAGACTTACACTAAGGGCATATCTTCACTTATGGACCAAATTGACAGGGCAGAGATCAGTCAGCTGGGGGTCGATTTAACTCATCTAGTATATACATGATAAATCAATTGTTCTCTCATCAATTCAAGTACTCCACCTCAATCAGAAGTGCAAGGGGAGCTGATGGGAGAGCATCTCCAGTTGACACACCGCCATGAAGACACCATGTTAAGTAGATCTAAGATCAACTTCAGCGATGTTTGTCATGTAACTGAAATTACATAAACTTAGATTGATCTCTTGCGGTAGTGTATCATAGAATCCTAGGACTGGAAGGGACCTCGAGAGGTCATCGAGTCCAGTCCCCTGCCCTCATGGCAGGACCCAGGACTGTCTAGACAATCCCTGATAGACATTTATCTACCCTATTCTTAAATATCTCCAGAGATGGAGATTCCACAACCTTCCCTAGGCAATTTATTTAACTGTTGAACCACCCTAACAGTTAGGAAGTTTTTCCTAATGTCCAACCTAAACCTCCCTTGCTGCAGTTTAAGCCCATTGCTTCTTGCTCAGAGGCTAGGAAGAACAAGTTTTCTCCCTTCTCCCTAAGACACCCTTTTAGATACTGAAAACCGTTATCATATCCCCTCTCAATCTTCTCTTTTCCAAACTAAACAAGCTCAGTTCTTTCAGTCTTCCATCATAGGTCATGTTCTCTAGATCTTTAATCATTCTTGTTGCTCTTCTCCAATTTCTCCACATCTTTCTTGAAATGTGGTGCCCAGAACTAGACACAATACTCCAACTGAGGCCAGTATGATGGCACTATACGTACAGTATGATGGGGGCTAATTTGGCTACGACAAATCAGGAAAGAGATCTTGGAGTTATCGTGGACAGTTCTCTCAGCGGCGGTCAAAAAGGCAAATAGGATGCTAGGAATTATTAGGAAAGGGATAGAAAATAAGACCCAGAATATTTTACTGCCCCTGTATAAAACTATGGTACGCCCACATCTTGAATACTGTGTACAGATGTGGTCTCCTCACCTCAAAAAAGATATTTTGGCCTTGGAAAGGGTTCAGAAAAGGGCAACTAAAATGATTAGGGGTTTGGAACGGGTCCCATATGAGGAGAGGTTAAAGCAACTAGGACTTTTCAGTTTAGAAAAGAGGAGACTGAGGGGGGATATGATAGAGGTCTATAAAATCATGAGTGGTGTGGAGAGGGCTGATAAAGAAAAGTTAATTATTAGTTCCCTAAATAGAAGAACTAGAGGACACCAGATGAAATTAATGGGTAGCAGGTTTAAAACTAATAAAAGAAAGTTCTTCTTCACACAGCGTGTAGTCAACCTGTGGAACTCCTTGCCAGAGGAGGCTGTGAAGGCTAGGGCTATAATAGAGTTTAAAGAGAAGCTAGATAATTTCATGGAGGTTAGGTCCATAAAAGGCTATTAGCCAGGGGATAAAATGGTGTCCTTGGCCTCTGTTTGTCAGAGGCTGGGGAGGGATGGCAGGAGACAAATCGCTTGATTATTATCTTCGGTCCACCCTCTCTGGGGCACCTGGTGCTGGCCACTGTCGGCAGACAGGATACTGGGATAGAAGGACCTTTGGTCTGACCCAGTACGTTCTTATGTTCTTATGTTCTTAATCAGCGTAGGGTATAGTGGAAGAATGACTTCTCGTGTCTTGCTCACAACACACCTATTAATGCATCCTAGAGTCATGTTTGCTTTTTTTGCAACAGCGTCACACTATTGACTCATATTTAGCTTGTGGGCCACTATACCCCTAGATCCCTTTCTGCCATACTCCTTCCTAAACAGTCGCTTCCATTCCCATGTGTGAAACTGATTGTTCCTTCCAAAGTGGAGTACTTTGCATTTGTCCTTATTAAACTTCATTCTGTTTAACTCAGACCATTTCTCCAATTTGTCCAGATCATTTTGAATAATGACTCTGTTCTCCAAAACAGTCGCAACCCCTCCCAGCTTGGTATCATCTGCAAACTTAATAAGTGTACTCTCTATGTGTAGACAAGCCCGAGGTCACTTTAGACAAATCACAATTTCCTCATTTATAAAACTCATATAAATATTACTTACTTATCTAGACATGAATTAATGTTCATAAAGTTCTTTGGAGATGCAAAGCACAGTGTAAATGGATAAGGAATTAGAAACAGGTTTGACTGCTATATGGGCACAAAAAAGCAACATAACACTAGCATAGGTTACACAGAGGAGGAGCAGGGACCTAGGGCAAGAAAAAAGCTATAGGAACCCAGAGCAAAGAAGGAGCAGCCTAGAAAAGGAATCAGGGAAGGAATCAGGACTGTTGTGAAGACATGCCCAGAGTGGGGAGTGAGGTGAAGGCAGACCTTTGCTGGACAAAAAGGCTAAACTGAAAACAAGACAGAGCCATTCTGACAGAAGGGAAAGGCATCTGTCAGTCACAATGGCAGACAGGTCAATTAGTCCTACCCTTCCCGCTAACAGTGACATTATTTAATGCTCAGGCTAGAAAAGCAAAGGAGTGTCATAGAACTGCCCAACACAGCTAAGATAGCTACTCTTCAGGAGTTAGGGGAGGGAAACATTCAAGACAGTGATGACTGACTCCACCTCCCAGAGCCTGAAATCACTTCAGCAAAGAAAAACAGATAGGAGTTCACAAGCAGCAACGCTAACTGTTGACATTACATCCTCGGAAGGTCAGTTGACATAAATACACACATACATTCTCTCAAGCACACGCGCACACGCACATGCATATTGTGGGAATTTTTTAACAACAAATTCAACTAACAGTAAGTTCCAAAAGATACATGTGGGATAATAAGTCTCTTGGTAACATATCCAAAGTCTTTCATTTGAAAGAAACATCCACAACAGAAACCTGATCATTTATACCAATAAGAAGTAAATATTTTTTGGAGAGAAGAGAAAGAAACGGTTCAGCTGGTGTTTTCAGGAGGTTTAAGGAAGGTTGAACGGATAGAAAATGTTTCAGCCCATAAGTTAATCAGCACTGAAAAAATAAATTCAAAATTTCCACTTTCTAATTAAGGATGGTGGGCCAGAATATTTATCTTTAAACTTTGGATGATTAAAAAAAATGAAAACCCACAGAGATCAGTCTGATGAACATGTTCCATATAAACCAAGAAAGGCTTAGTTTATTGAGCCCCAGGCTATTAATCTTATGGCTTCACAGCCTCTCATTTTTTCTAAACTCTTTATGCAGGTGAGCTATTTTTGAGAGGTTCATTAGAATGATCTTCATTATAAATTAATTAAGGTTTAAAAAATTATTTTAAAGCATCAGATAACAGAAAGGATAAAGCAATAACAATGTTTTATTTGTTTTTATTTTCTAAATAATCAAATCAAACAATACACCTTACCCTCCTGGTAGTCTTATAACTAGATACGCATTACCTACATCACCAAAAAACTCTTGCCTTAAATTAATGCTGCCTCATACACTAGAATAGCTGCAAGTCTTCCTTCAGCCAACTCTGTTATAAAAACTTCTTAATGAACCATAAGATATTAGAAAGTGATAGTGAAAGCAGCAAGCTCAAATTACGTGCATGTGTGGATAAGCAGCTGATTACTCACATACTAAAATCAAATTAGTATGCAATGAGGCTGCATAGCTCTGCTTTGGCTCCATTTTCATTATATACCACATTATGCACACTGTGGAATACATAGAAATAACACATATAAACATTTGCATGTGTTCATTACAAGCCTATAATAATACCTATATAATAGTTTTATAACTTCTTCATCATCATCAACAACCATGGGCTCTGCGCCCGCTGGTGTCCAATGCCTCCCTCACTATCTCCTTCCATCTTTCCCTGTCCAGAGCGGAGTGGCTTAGTTTCTGTAGACTAGCTCCGCACCAATCTTACTACTCTATAATACCTTTATTAATAACTGCAGAGAAGTTTACTTCCTAGATTGTTTTATACTTGTAAAGATAGATATGTGAAGCCTCTATGAAAAGTAACTTATTTTGAAAATAAAGTGAATTTAGTACTGTAGAAATATGCCAGGCTGCTAACCCTGGAGACTGAAGTTCTTTTTTTATCCATAGAAGCAGTACAGCATATGCAATAGCAGTTCAGGCTTTGCTACACAGCTTCCAATATATCCTTGATTTCAAAGGACAGCCCCTCACAGTGAGAATAATTCAGTTTGCCATTCCATTAGTTCCTTGGACACACCCCTAAAGCTGTCAGCAAGGATGTCATTGGAGCCCTCTTTGGCGGCATAAGTGGACACATGCCCACCAGGATCT